AGAATTTCTGGAGCTGAAGCCCCGATGCGTAGGTGTGAAGTGCTTTCAGCAGGGAAGAAGTCAACGATAGAAAAAACATTATGAAGAGCAAAACTGCCATCTGGTGTTGGAATTGCTGTACTAGGAGTCGCAGCAAAAAGATGTACAAAATATAGCAAGGTGTAAAAAAAACAAAAGTACAGAACCTTAATTTAATAACAGACAGTTCATCCAGCATTAGAAATGTATGGGATACTCCTGGGTATAAAGCCTATTATACGCATCTTACTACAGGAAGTAGCTGCAGAGCAACGTCAATTGGCACACCACCTCAGGTTCCCATAAAAACGACGCTATGTGGCCAAAAGGTATATGAACTCCTGCCATCACACCTATTGGACATCTCATTCCAAAACCAATGGCATTAAAGCATTAACATAAAACTGCCCGCTTCCCCTTAGTAGCTTTTACAGGCTGTACTCTACTGGAAAGGCTTTCCACAAGATTTTGGAGTTCATCTGTGGCAATTTGTGCCCATTCAGTCAACAGACTGAGGTCAGGTACTGTTGTTGGACGAGAGGACCTAGCTTGCAGTGGTCATTCTAATTAATCCCAAAGGTGTTCAGTAGGGCTGAGGTAAGGGCTCTATGGAAGCCACTCTAGTTCCTCCACACCAAACCTATCAAACCATGTCCTTATGGAGCTGGCTTGGTGTACAGGGGCACGGTAATGGTGGAACGGAAAAAAGCCTTCACCAAAATGGTACTACAAAGTCAGAAGCCAGCAATTGTCTAAAATGTCTTTGTATGATGTAGCATCAACAGTACCCTTCACTGGAAGACAGGAACTCAATATTTAGAGGGGTTGTCCATGTACATTTGGCCATTTAGTATAGATTTTATTGAGATAAAGTTGAGTGAAAACCACAAAAATCACCAATAAAATCCATCAATCAAGCAAGTTATTTATCATGTACTAATCTGCACAGGGAAAGAAAATCTTTTTTTTTTTTAAATGTATCGTGGTTTATAATAAGGTTATTGTATCATACAGCAGAATACATAGATGGCTGTGTTCACCTGCAGACTATAGGCTTATTGTGTCATTGAAGCCGCAATACCTCCTACTTCTAGGTCTAGGGCTGGATTTCTGCATTTCCAGCACAGGCCAAGGGCCAGGGCAGCAAAGTATCCTTAAGCAACACACAGCCACCCACACATCATAAGACTGTCAGTAAATAATTTCTATACAGAGGCGTAACAATCGCCATAGCGACCCAGGCGGCCGCTATGGGGCCCGGGGCACAGTGGAGCACAGGGGGGGCCTGGCCAGATGCCGAGCGGACCGCCTGGGTCGCTATGGCATCCTCTGCTGGTGGCTTTCACTGGCGGCTCTGAAGAATGCGCCGCTGTTCAGATCGCTGACCGTAATCTGCGCAGCAACGCGTTCCTCTCCGGAGCCGCTGCTGAGTCAATGAGAGCCAGCAGCGGCGGTGGAGGAAGCCGAGCTGCTCTGCAGGGTCACCCTCAGGTGGGCTGCGTGGGATCTCAAGTGGGCTCTGCAAGGGACGTAACTAGAAATCACGGGGCCCCATACAACATTTTGCTATGGGGCCCTGTGATTCCTAGTTACGCCCCTGTTTCTATATATACTAAGATACCAGACTGCCTACCGGTAACATCTACCGGAGTTCTCATTTTTTGCTATTGCAGTTTGTGCGTTTTTGTGGGTGGAATAGCGTACTGTATTCTTGCAGACCCAGCAGAGTAGGGAGATAGTGTGTGCTGCCTTTCTTCTCATCAGCTCCAGGTTTACTGACACTTTTGGGCAGATTGCCTCTTTCAGCATTTATTCCTGCAGCCTTATGTGTCGTGTGTAGCTGATCAATCCATTCATGTTAGAGTGATACTAAGGCTAGCCAGTCAACTTGTTATGGTAAGCTCAGATTACCTGGCATGGTTTATCGTTCTCCTCTGAGAATCCCAGCCAGGATTTCCAGAAGATCCGCTACTAATGGATCTCACATGGTCCAGGCCAGTATGGCTAGTAATAGTAAAAGATTCCAGACCAGGACTTCCAGTGTACCCTGATGCTGGGCGTGTCGTCTCTGATTCAGAAGGGTATTTAAGCACTAGTTCTGCAAGGAGCTTGTGCTATGTCTTTTTGCCAGCTTCCTGTTTGTCTAAGAGCTTATACTTCTGCTGTTTTGTCGTTGCTGACCCGGACCGTCTGACCCTTCTTCACTTGCTGCCTGCCCTGATCTTCTGCCTGGACCCGACTTTGTCCTTGTCCCCTGCGCTTATCCTCTGATTAACCATTGCTGACCTGGGACCATCTGACCACGCTCTGCTAGCTGCCCGCCTTGAACTCTGCCTGCAACGGACTAATGTCTCCTCATTGGAGCCCTCCTGTCCTCGTCCATTCCTTGGCAGGGCAACCCTGGGAATTGTGACCTGGTACCAGAAGCAAGCATCTCCACCATCAGGAGCTCTGGTGAACACCGACTGGTACATAGACTCCGCCCCTCAGGGAAGCCCGTGTCACCTGCCAGGGGGTGTCACCCTAACACAACTGGAGTGGGGATAGCAGAAGACAGTTGACCTGGAGGGTGGGCAGAAAGTATGGACAACACACTGGTTTGCTTACAGCTTGAGTTACTGGGTTCTAGAAACAAGTTTAGTCCAACATATTTCAACAAAGGATAGATAGGAAACGGTGAAAAAAAAAAGAAAGCTTCTTCTACTGCCTACATATGAAAATACGAAATAATCACATTCAATATTTCAAATTTTCTTATTTGATTTTTTTGAATGTATTGTTTGGCCCTGACCATTATAAATAAAGAAAAGATACAAAACCATTATACATTCCATTCAAACTTCAAGAACACAGAGAGATCAATTGAGGTCTTCCCAGTGTTTCTGATGCAAGATTCATAATGTGTGCGATCAAGGTCACCTCTCTGGAACAATATCACCACTGAGTCACCTGCACACAATAACACGTCTAAAAGAAAATGCATGTTTATAGGGAAAACGCCACCTACACGCAATCATCAACACAAGAGCTGAGTGAAAAGACAGCATTTAGGCAACCAGCACCATCTAGAATTGCAGGAATTAAAACTCTTATCTTAGAAGCATCCAGCTGTTCACATTAACCACACCAGATTACAATTCGCCAATGATAAAAGTGGGCAATTTATATCACTGTAGATCAGGGTTTTGTAAAAAGAGAAACTAGCTCAGAACAGGAAAATTACTGCAGTATGATGATTTATACTTGGCCGCTATTGAAAAGATGAAATAAAGTCCTCCCTGCGAAGCAAAGAAGACTCTCCTGTCCTGCTACACCCTGCTAGGTTAAAGAGAGGAGTATCTTCTACATTTAACACTTCCGGGAGTTTCGGACACTGGTGCCCCCTGATGTGCTCTAAGGCTTCTCCAGCTGGTCCCTACATTACTACAGGACACAGAATATAAAGCCTGATCTTGTTCACAGCAGCCAGGTCCGGTGTGGTCAGAAAAAATAAATAGTGCATGCAGGATGCACGCGGCCGGAGGGCATGGCTGCGGTTCCATTGAGTTCAATGCACCACCACGCCCCCTTCTGTCCCAAAACAAAGTGAGCCGGCCGGAATGGGATCCAGTGCGTTCCGGCCAGAATCGGACCAGAACGCACTGAGGCTGGTGTGAATTAGACCTTAGGCTTGCCAATCAACTAGAGTGTGGTGGGGGCAGCACAAGACTATTAGCCTAGTGTGGAAGAAAGCATGAGCAAGTACAGATTTGCTTTCAGCTTGAGCTTTTGGAGTATGGGCAAGACACAGAGTACACACGGCCAAGCCTAGGTAATCTCTGAGTTGGCATCTTAGTCCATGAAATACATACTGACCCTAGAAAATGCCTGAACAAAGAAGGTGTCATCTGTGGATAAAGTAAAGCAACTACTTTTCTTTTAGTGAAGTTATCCTTGAAAGCTTACCCTTGCCCCCTTGATCGTAATCCACATAGTAAACCAGTTACCTTCAGCCCTGCTCCAGACAGGCCATGCCCCGCAGAGTCATTGCAAGTTCTGCCAACTGCAGAAACGCCCAGCTATCTCATTACTTTTTATGGCTGCTTTGTACTTATGGTGGCCCCAGCCTTCTATAGGAACATAGCCCCAACCACAGCAACAAAAGAGGCCACTGGGCACATGTGCAGTAGGCACATGACACAGCCTGGGATTTTCTTCTTACAGAAGCTATATGGATCCAACCAGGGCCACACAGTAAAGATCTCTAGAGCAGGGCTACATTTAAAGACATTGCAGAGTTGTATGGGCTTCTCTTCTATACTCAAATTCCTTGCTTTGATTTCACTGCACACTTTGGGTTTCCCACAATATGCATTAGAAGCTGTAGCAAGAGCCTCTCTCAATTCCTGGCTGGAAGAAGTCCCGCATCATCTAGCTTTCTTCCCCAACCTGGCAATCTCTGGCTTGTCTATTTTGTTCATTGGATTTCAGTTATTTGACTCAAGGAGGCTCAGCAACATACAAGGGCATCACCTAAGGTAGCCTGTAATTGCAGGCTGCCTAGAAACGCCCAACTCCTCCAGACTGACATCCACCCATCTAGACAATTTGAACTTTGCATAACTTCTCTCAGGAGCCAGCTCACTGCTTCCATCAAAGCTGTGGGTTCTTGGGAGGAGTACAGAGAGTGATTTGATGTTTTTGGAAACCATGAACAGCACCCTGCCAGCCCCTCCCACCAGTCATGGTATTGTATAGAGAAGCGCAGAAACACCCCTGGGTCTAAAATAAAGCATGTGATTAAAATGGAAAGGTTTTACTTAAACATTTAATCAGCATGTTGATGCAAGGGAAGGAAAGGTACCAGAGAAGGCAAAATATAAGCAGGTTAAACTGCAGCATTAACATGAAAAATTAAATCTGAAGCTGTGTCCACTTTAATTTTACTATTTCTTCTGAAAAACAAAACAAATATATACAGGTATTAAAGTACTGGTACTTACCGTAGGGTAGGGGTGTGAGCAGAACACAGTGTACTTTCGGATGATTCCATTTAGTTTTAAAGGGGGGAGCCATGCTACATAGACTATGGAAGCTGAGGCTGCGGCAGCTTTAATACCAGCAGTGGGACCTGGAACTAGAAACCGAGAAAGAAGGTTAATAAATTATTACAAGCAAAAATATATCAGCTGAGACTCCATCTACAAACTGACAACATGTAATAACGCATATCAATTATTAAAGAAATACTTATTATGCTGTTTTAACCACTCTATGCATTGCTCATGATCGCCAATTGACTGTTACAGACCACACATTATAAAATAAGCTGCAGAAGATCTTTTGAGCTGATGGTACACTAATGTCCATTCAGCAGCAGGGTGGCTTAATGGTTAGCACTACTGCAGCACTAGGTATTCTGGAATCAATACACACCAGGGATTCTATCCACATGGAGTCGGCACATTCTTTTTATATTTGTTGCAGAATTTACTGACTGTGAGCATTTTTTGCTGCCAATGCACTTTATTCTCATTGTACACATCTCCATTGGCAAAGATTACCAGCATATGTAAATTAATAAGCCAATGTGGCAACTGCATGAACTCTCATACTATCATTACAATAATTTGTATGTGTTCCTTGCACCATATTTAGGGCCATTCACAGGCAGACCTGAATCAATGCAACAAAAGATCTAATAATTGCCTTACTTCCAAATGGCCAACAAAAATCTCTGCGGGTGAGAAATTATACTCTGTATATAAGATCACTATATTATACAGTAATTAGAATTCAGACTTTTGCATACTGCAATACTAGGGGGTGCAATATTTCTAAACAGAAGATTGTGAAGATGAATGTGTAATATTTGAAGCAATATTTTCACAAAGGTGGCTGACTGTCTCTTCTAAATTTTCATACATTCACTTGGTAAGTCGGCGCTCGGATCATTTGCTGCCTTGACTGTGGTCAGACGATCAAGCTTATTTTAACATCTCTCCTGAGTCTAATACTGGCCATACATTTAACAATAATATTGTTCGATATAACGGTCATTTCAATGAAAGGATTGTATCATAGAGAAACCATGTGCACTAAAATAAATTTTAATCCACAAATGATCACTTCCAACTTTTTGGACCCTGTCTTAAGCAATCTTGTTCCTAATTTAAATTGAGCGTTTTTGTTAGGCTGTAGTCAGCCTGAGCTCTGACTGATCGTTCTCCTTTCCTTTTCTCCATTTTGTCACTGTTATTGTTGGCTTCTGCCTGGTGTTGGGTAGTATTCCTGGCTATAGTATGAGAGGACACTTTTGTCTCCCTGGCCATCCACTATGAAGTTTATTGCCAGTGGCGCATGGTGGGGAAGGATATAAATACGTGGGGTGGCATTGGTGAGCTCTCCTTTTCCTCATAGGCTTGCTGCCTGGGGAGGGTGTTCTGAGAAAAGACTCTTGTCCTGGAGAGGCGGTTGCTGGACCTGGAAGCTTCCTGATGTGCTGCAAGAGGGTCAATCCATTCAACATGATCTAATTAGGTCTGGTGCAATTAATTCTGAGCAAGCAAATTTTATTCTGGAAGCTATAGAGTTTGTTTTAACACACAATTATTTTGTTTTAATTGAGGATTTCTATATACAGAATAAGGGCACTGCTAAGGGGGCCATGCTTTTTCCTTTACCAACAAAACCTAGCTGTAAGTCATTTGATTTGGTTGCCACTCCGTCTTATTCGGCCAGCTAGCTCTGAACATTCAGGTTCTCATGAAGGGAGCGTGCTCCAGGAAACACGTCAACCATTGCAGCCACAGCCTCTGCTGGCATCCATGTTACGCCAATCGGGGACTGTGAGAGTTCGTATGGACTCGTTGAACTGACAACCTTTCATTCCCGGAGTCTGTTGATAAGCCTTTATACTGCTACACTTGTGAGTAGCCTATATTTTTTTTAACAATTTGATATGAAAAAATCAGTACGGCGCAGGGTTGGGCGCTCTGTTCTGTATTTCTTTTGCATGTATGGATGAGAGCTTTCTGATCTAAGGTGGAGCAGAACCCCTGTGGCCAGTTCATCCAAGAGTCGATAGTTGTTTGCTGTTAGAACCAGAGGACACACTTTGATTGCACAGGGTCAGAGAGATGTTCAGTGGCACAGGTGGCAGGAGAGTTAAGTGTTCTTTCTCTTCATTTACAGGTATGCAAACTTTGCTATAGTGATAGCGTTCATTCGTATCAATCGTTACTATTTTCCCCAAAAAGTTATTTCATCACCACTACAAATGACTGCTTACCCTGTCTCCTACAATCTTTGCTAAAGCTCTCAGTTATTGCAAACTAAAGGATAGCGGTATTTTAAGAAGCAGTAATCTGTGTGATCATTGTGCACAGTCAAAATAACCCCAAACATCTTTAAATTCAGCTGATCTGATAAGTCAATAAAGGAATCCAAATATGACTGTTAAAAAAAATGTAAAAAGCCCGGAAATTTTTCTTAACTGAGCTCATTGGCTGCCTTTAGGAATATCTGACTGGTGATTAGGGTTACTAGAAAATTAGTTCTAATATAGCCAATTAAAAGACACTGGGGGGGGGGGGATTTATCAAAACTGCAGCAGACAAAATATGAAGAAGGTGGCAATGGCAACCAATCAGCTTCTCTCTTCAGTTTGATCAGTTAAGATTGTAAAATGAAAGATAAGCTGATTGGTTGCCATGCACAGCTGCTCCGGATTTTGTCTGCTCCAGTTTTGATAAATTCCCTTCACTGCCTATATACAGTCACTATAACGAACACTATATAATAGTTTATTGTATTGTGACCAACTAGTGCCATCTGGTGGACAGTTTACTTAATTTCTGTTGTATGTAAGAAGAAGAAAGTGATATGTATTTGATACTTGTCACTTCGCTGGGGTAAGTGCATAATGAAGTAGGGAGTCTAAACAAATCCTATTTTTGGATATATAAGCCAAGGCAGTGGTGATCAACTTTCATTATGTAGGGGTCCTCAAGTGTGGCCCTTGACATCACCAAAAGGGCCCCACATAATATTGAGTAAATGTAATGCTTCCGAGACTGTAGACATGTAACGGGATAGTCTATATATACTAAGAAATGGTCAGAGACTGCTGACATAATACAGAAGATGGTCAGAGACTACGGCCATGCTGAAAGAGTTGTTGGAGACTGGAACAAGCTAAAAAAAAAGCCATAGAGTTGGATGTGCTCATAGTATGAGACATGCTTCAGAATACAGTCATAGAGTGGAACATGCTTCAGAACACAGTCATAGAGTGGAACATGCTTCAGAACACAGTCATAGAGTGGGGCATGCTTCAGAATACAGTCATAGAATGAGACATGCTTCAGAAGACAGTCATAGAGAGGAATATGCTTCAGAAGACAGTCATAGAGTGGGACATGCTTCAGAATACAGTCATAGAATGAGACATGCTTCAGAAGACAGTCATAGAGTGGAACATGCTTCAGAAGACAGTCATAGAGTGGGACATGCTTCAGAAGACGGTCATAGAGTGGGACATGCTTCAGAAGACAGTCATAGAGTGGAACATGCTTCAGAAGACAGTCATAGAGTGGGACATGCTTCAGAATACAGTCATAGAATGAGACATGCTTCAGAAGACAGTCATAGAGTGGAACATGCTTCAGAAGACAGTCATAGAGTGGGACATGCTTCAGAAGACGGTCATAGAGTGGGACATGCTTCAGAAGACAGTCATAGAATGAGACATGCTTCAGAAGACAGTCATAGAATAGGACATACATCAGAAGACAGTCATAGAATAGGACATACTTCAGAAGACAGTGTTCTACTGGGGATGTGACTCAGGAATCAGTCATAGACTGGAGACACGTTACATAAGATTGCTAAAGTTCACTGTCATTACTGCCCCTTTATAATAAAATTATTCCACAGGTTTTGCTTCCTACAACCCCCTTAAAAATGACTGGTGTCACATTTGATATTTATCTCTACAATATCTGTAATAAAAGATCAGATGAAGAAACCCTAGAATAACAGAAAATGGATGGACAGCACAGAAAAAAAGTAAGATAGTAAAAGAAATAAACCAAGCCATTTAACGACTTGAAAGCTGTAGAATATGTTTGTTCTCTGGCCTGAGTAAGCACCTTATTAAAGAAAACTTTGACATGTCTTCAAGGGTCCGCACAACAAGTACAAATGGGCCGCATGTGGCCCTCAGACCACAGTTTTGGCACCAGGGATCTACGGTAATATGACAGAAAACAGTGCTGTCAAGCAGACAATTGTTCTGGTCCAGGACATTGCATTACCAGGACATTCAGACAATTTTATAGAGGAATATTCATATCCAAGGATCCAAGGATGCACTGCCTTACACTTTCTGTATGTGCTATGTACTCTAGTCAAGCCACTCCTGTAGCACTTTACATTCTGATCAGGACATCTGTTCTGTGCTAATGGGATCTACAATGCTGCAACTGTCCACAGGTAGGAGTTTGGGCTCAGCATAGGACATATTATTGCTATATAGAGATATAGTCACTTTGTCCATTTAGTACAAACTCACATTGTCTGCCCCCCTTCCACAGGCAGTTATGTTTACAGAGCTATGCCCCTCGCCATCGACACCAGTGGCACTTTCATCAACCTGACTACATGTGTTTTTTCATTGCTGGCTGTGGCTCCATCGGGCAGTTTACCTGAAATGTTTGTCTCTGGTACAGAAAGTGAGAAGAAACCTTGTGTAGCACCCTACTGGAAAGAGTACCCTTAAATTTAGTGATATCAGATTGTATGCAGTCTGATGCTCCTTTGTAGTCTGGGTTCATTTGGTGTACTGCAGGATGTACCCTGGTCACAGAACAGAGCAACCAATGAGGAACTGCTATGAGTGGATATCTCTCTCCAGCCAATCACTGTTAGACAATGGCTAGTGGTGCATGCTGGGGGAGGAGATAAATACTTGGGGTGGACCATGTGAGCTCTCTCGTCCTCCCCCGGGCTCAGCCTGTGGGGAGGCTGCCATGGATTGTCTGAGATGGCCAGGCCTGAAGCCTGGGGACTAGCCATGTGATAAACCTGGAGCCTGATAGTAGCAGGTCCAGTGGTTCCTACTGAAGACAAGTACTAGTAACTTCTACCTCAAGTAGTGCTGTGTCAGGTGTTCTATCCTGCTGTGCATGGACACAGTAACCACACTTTGCAGTGCAATGGAGTCTACATCTGCCTGGATGATCCTAACCCTCTGCCTCTCTCCCTGAAGTTACTCGATTACTCAAGAGGGCGGTAAGTGCTGATGGTCAAAAGCGAGTAATATCATCCCTAGACAAGGGACCCATAGCAGCCGACCCTAGTACTCAAGGTGTACTGGTGTGCTGTGGATCCATTATAGAGGTTTCTTACAGAGGAAATACAGGGAGACCCGTTCATTCTTTTCCTGCAGATCACTCCTTCAGAGCCACCGGTAGTGTTATCCTATGCTGTGGATATCGCTGACCGAGTAAGGGGGAAGCTACAGTTCCAATGGGGAAACCTTTTCTGGTGACAACTGTCTAAGAGATGTTCCTTTGCTTTGGAGAGATCTTCTCTTACTTTATGTTGTATCTCTGGGACAGGAGGTGCAGGGAAATGTTTCCAAAGGCATAAAGGCAGCAAAAAAACATGAGGGGTCATAGCCATTTCCCAGTCTATCGAAAACTAAAGAGAATTTTGTGGCTTTGCTTACACTTTAAGGTTTATTTACTGCTTGTTAAGAATATGTGTGAATATATAAATGTCCATATCCTGGCCACAGTTCTATTTGTAAGTTATGAAGATTTAAAAAAATCACTAAAAACAGCAGTGTATATAAACACAGAGCAGCAGATTGCGCACTTCCAGGCAGATCATTTTTTATGAAGCTTCTGCACCTTTTACAAAGATCTCTACAAAAGAGGTCCCCAGCTGGACACACTAGAAGTTGCCTACAGTCCTTACAAACAGACTTCTATAAGTAGCCAGCACGGCTCACATATACCAGCTGTAACTCTTACCATCTTCTTTGGTTCTGACGAATATTTGCTCGCTGCGCACACCATCTCCAGCCCGTGTAAAGGCCAGCACCTGGATACTGTAATTGGTGTACTTCTCCAGACCATCCAGCTCCAGTAACGGTTGATTTGTGGTTACATTTTTTATTTCACCAAGCTCTAAAAAAAAGAAAAAGACATCAAGACATCAACAAAACCAATTCAGTAAGTTAATTGATATATGTAAAAAGTAACTGAATTAAAAATAAATAAAGGCATATTTGCGTATACACCATTTTCTGAAAACAATACAAAAGAAGGGGTCTTTTGCCACCAACAGTGTATATGTTTTCTGGATGATCTCACAGATATATATCCACCCCTCCTCCAATGCCAAGGTCCTAGTTGTCATTCTTGACTCGGACCTCACCTTTCTTCCACACATCCAAATCATTATCCAAATCCTACCGCTTTCACCTTCGTAACATCTCCAAAATGACCAATGACACCGCAAAACTACTCATACACTCACTTGTTATCTCTCGTCTTGACTATTGTAACTCCCTCCTCATTGGCCTTCCACTACACAGGATATCCACCCTTTAGTCTATCATGAATGCAGCTGCCAGACTCATCCACTTGACCAACCGCTCAGTGTCTGCAACCCCCTCTGCCAATCCCTGCATAAAGTTTTAATAAAGTTTTTAATAAAGTTTTCAGAGGACCAACATGCAGGTGCGTTCTTGCTCTCCAACACAAAGTTATCATTTCCTCACCTCCATCTAGAAGGTTTGCCCAGAAGATAACCCTGTACCCCTGGAGGATGCCATTGAGGGCGTCTTTGGGAGGAGTAGACCAAGAGATTGTTATTGTCTCTGGTGTGGTTGCAGCAGCCTGGACGTTCTCCGGGGGGCGGCTGGGAACTGGAAAAAGAGAACACGCATATTTATTACTGTTATATGTTTCACATCACAGGAGATCAAAGAGAGAAAATATTCGTAACACTGATGGATCTATTGAAAAAAAAAACCCCAAAACACTTCCTTTATTTGCTTTGGCAAAAATTTACAAAAATTTTTGCAGAAAATGTTCATCATCCAAACTGTTTAATTCAGATAGACTCTGTCTGGTAGACTTTGAGTCATATAAGAGGTTCAGCAAGGTATTGTTATTGTATGTCACTACTCTGCAGGAAGGGGAGCCTGCATATGTAATGAGCCCCCATGTGGCTGCCTCCATTTACATAAACTAGGACAAAGGGTTACGGTTTGAGAACAGGATATATTGGGGATGTTACAAAGTCACCTGAAATCTTCATTTTCACTGTGCAAGAAATACTGCCATTTGAATTAGGACATCATAGACCATTCATCCTAAATGAGGAGAGCTGCATATTTCTGATGATTAAATCATTGCCCTGAGCAGCTATTGTCACTATGATCACATAATCTGCATCCATGTCGCATTGAAAATTGTGTCTTTTCTGCAAAAGACCCCTCCAGTCACTCTCAAGAGTAAAACTTTGCACATGCTTGCAGAGGCTCTCCTTACCAGTGTGGTGCTGCTCTTTCTTGGATGTCCAGGGTATTTACATGTAATAATA